GGTATGTCCCATTCTGTGGACTCTACACCACCATCTGCTGGAGAAAGCGGCGTTGTTCTTACCTGAACGCCTTTTCTCAGCAGAGTGGTGTAGAGTCCACATCCCCCCCTGTTATCTCTTGTCTAGACATGTGTTATTCCGCTTCTTTTCTCTTTTCTCTCATTTGGAGCTTTGCGTCTGCATTTTGCGCCTCGACCTTACCAAAAACTGGGGAAGGCACACCCAGAGGGAGGCGTGGCTAAAGTTTTTTCTTTCCTTAGTTCTCTGCTAGGCAGGATTGCATTGATAACCCATTCTGTGGACTCTACACCACTCTGCTGAGAAAAGGCGTTCAGGTAAGAACAACGCCGCTTTCAGTGAATATGTTAAACTTGTATAATTTAATCCTAGGTCTTGTCACTATTTGTTCACTGTTTCTTCAATTAGCATAGCTATACCAACTAAAATATTAGCAGTGGACTGGAGCTACATCTGAACCTTACTGTGCTCCTTCTCTAGTAGAAATTACATATAAAACTCAATTTGGTCATTACACAAATGAAGTATCTGCTCTTTTCATAATTTCAAAATTAAAGGCAGTTACAATAGGTAAAGCCTATAAAAATCAAAGCTCCAGCCATGGTAAAAGAGGAAGATCTAATTAAAAACCATGCTCAGATGTACATTTTTCTCTGTCTGCCTATCAGTATCCCTCTGCATGAAGTGTATACATGCCTAATATTTGCATTAGGAAGGACACCAATCACTTAAAATTATTTCCTAAAGTAGCTTATGGTATTATCATTAGAATGAGTATTCCATTGGCAGAACAGGGAGATATAAACTGAAACAGCAACTCACTTATTTTACCTCCCTTAAATAACAGGAGCATAATAAAGCTGACTGCAACATCAATTTTCTAAAAGAGTTAAAAAAATATTACAGGAGAGTCTTACTTATTTTCTGCTCTTTTTCATTTTTCCTTTGTGAGATTTGCCTTTTTAGCTTGTTCACCTCCGCTTGGAAAGATTCAACAGTTCGCTCGCTTTTCTCTACATCTATGCATACTGCCTGGGAGAAACACAACAAGGTTATTTGACTGACCCTGCCCACCTCTGCTGCAGAAGAAACTAGACCAATTTCCACAAACTGTCTAGTACCAACCCATCTGTCTAGTAATTCTGGTTAAATGTCTGTTGTACGATTAATGATAAAAAGCACCATAATACAGAGTTCAGGCCTATTGACTTGGAGGTTCTGCAAAGGCATCTTGTTAAAGCGAGCTATACTTCATCAGCTACCTCTTATTGCAAATTATTTCCAAAGTGCATCTCATGGCACAAAGTGGAATGCCGCCATCCATATTTTTAGCACATAATTAGGTGGCTACTTATGGATGTAATAATAACTGAAATAATTGGAATCCAATTCAAGGAAAGACAAAGGAGCTGGAAACAGGACTTAAAGCTACCAAAATAAAGAGTGGTACATGCTGAAAATGTGATTGATTTGTTTTTGCCAAAATTGTACGATGCATCCTTTTAAGATCCTTTATGAAATATTTAACAGAAAGAGCTATTAGGTATTATACATAGGAGCCCAATCTTGCCAGCTAATCCAAACAAATTCCTGCCCTTGAATGCAGTTATAGAGACTCTGCATTCTGCTCATGAAACTATCACTAAGAGATCTAATACACATTATTTTCATTTGACCTTACTGAGCTTTTGGGCAATGTACTTTTAATCTTAAAATAGATGTCGTTTTAGCTTTAGTTTCTTTATACTGGTATCTATTCTAACAATAGTTTTCTGTTCTTTAAGTCACCTAAAGCATAATTTGCAAATATTAATATTCTAGCTATAATATATTATAAATATAGGTAGTCCTCGACTTACAGTACAGCAGTTCATTTAGTGACTGTTCAAAGTTGCAACGGCACTGAAAAAGTGACTTACGACTGCTTTTCACTTATGACCATTGCAGCATCCCCATGGTCACGTGATCAAAATTCAAATGCGTGGCAACTGACTCATATTTATGATGGCTGCACTGTCCTGGGGACATATGATCCCCTTTTACGACTTTCTGACTAGCAAAGTCAATGGAGAAACCAGATTCACTTAACAACCATGTTACTAACTTAACTAGAGCGATTCACGTAATGACTGTGGTGAGAAAAGTCGTAAAATAGGGCAAAACCCATTTAACAAATGTTTCACTTAGCAACAGAAATTTTGGGCTCAATTGTGGTCGTACGTCAAGGACTACCTGTACAAAATAGTTTTTTATATATCTGCCACAGTAAAGATCGCCAAATTTTAAAATAAAAGGAGTTACCTGTACTTTTTCCTGAAGTGCATTATAAACCTGATATATAGCCCTGATGTCCTTCATCACTCCATCTTTATCAAAAAAATCAGTACTAAAAATATGAAACATAATGTATTAGAAATAAATTATCATCAGATCTTACTTATTCCCTGTTACCCTTAAAGTCCATTTATATTTCTTACATAGTCATGCACAGAATACCAATGCATGAACTGCTGTGGCTGTTTGAAAATCCAATTTTTTTTTGCTCTGCCTGCTTTGATAGTGATAGTGTAGAAGAAATATAGCTTAGAGAAATCTAAGTTACACATCAAAGAAGTACATTCTTCATTTCTCCTCATTTCCATTAATTTACTGTACTGAGAAAAAAATACAACTATAAAAGATATAAAAATCTATATGTTGCAGACACCTGCACATATATTCTATGTGCAGGATACCCTAGCATGTGCCTGCTTTGTTTCTTATGCTAACCTTAATCAACACTTTCCTATATTGCTAGAAACTAACAATGATATAACAAAAGCAGATAATCAAGAAAAGCAAAGTGCATGTGTATTTAAATCTATGTTTATTTCTTAATATGCCAAATTGGCAATGAATAAGTATTGAAACATTGCTTACCCATGTTCTTTAATAACTTTGGTATAGTTTTGAGAAGTATTTGGCACTGAAGATACCTTATATTCTTGCTGGCTTGTGTTGCCCAGGTTAGGGATAGTAAGTGACACTCTTTGATTATACCTACATTAAAAAAAAGTTCAGATAATTAATAAACATCACAGAAATTCCTGAGATTCTAAACACAGCAGTAATTCATGTTAACAGAAAATTATTTTTTTAATTTTAGGGAGAAAAGGCTACTATTAACTGTATCTATAGTTAGCTACAATGTTTAAATTGAATCTGGAGTGACTATCAATTTAATAATTGCCTAGATAGTTGACAACTATTAATCTTCCATTAACTGTACATGCATGCTTTTTGCGATACTACAGGAATGCAAAAATTTGGGTTGCTTTTTTCCCAATATTTAAATTATACCTCCTGGTTAAAAAAAAAATCTTTCTTTTCTCTCAATTAGAGAAATAGGCTAGAAGAAAACTATTTCAATTAAAAACAAGGAACAGAAACTCGTAAATCAATTCCATTGATTAAAATGGCTCTCTCTTTCTGTTTTTCAGCTAAAGTTTTAGTTAATTACTTTATTGATTTAATCTTGCAAGTTGTCACCGTATTTACAAGAAAGCGTTATAGAGAACTGAAGTTATTTTCATGACATGCTAGAACAGGGGTCCTCAAATGTGGCCATTTTAAGACTTGTGAACTTCAACTCCCAGAATTCCCCAGCCAGCATGGCTGGCTGGGGAATTCTGGGAGTTGAAGTCCACAAGTCTTAAAGTGGCCACGTTTGAGGACCCCTGTGCTAGAATCTTAGCAATCTATGGGTTGGATTAAGAAATAAGCATACAGCATAGAAAGATGTATTTGTTTACTAAAGTGCTGAATGCAGAAAAGAAATGATCAAACAGACATATAGGAAGATTTGCTAGCAAATAATCTGATAATACCTAATATACAACCGGGAAGCAGAGCAGAGTTCACTTAGCCAACACAAACAAACAATCCAAAATGTTTGAAATTAAAATTCTATCCGATACTGTTACCGAAAACTAAGTTCTATAAATGTGTATTTCATACAGTACCTTAGTCAAGATTCTGCAATTTAACTTTAGAACAATATGACAACTTCCATACGATAACAAACTTCTGGATATTTTCTCTAATTAAATAATTTTAGTACAGCCATAGGCAAAACTTGGTACTGTCTCAATAGCTTCACAAATTCTGAAAACTGTCTATGTTTACTGAAGTGAATAAGAATTATAATTAAAAACCTATTAATGCTTGGGCTCATATTATGGTGAGATCCAGTCATATGTATGAAGCCAGAGAAACTTAATAACTAACCAGGGTAAATTATAATGATTTCAATGAGTGAAATTTAACATATTTTAAAGCATCAATGGTTAATTTTGCTTGGTTTTGGTAAGGGAAGAAAAATGGAACCACTTTGTGAAGCCTAAATGAGTAGGACAGAAAGAAAACAACTTGCATTTTACCTGAGTATGCAGAAATGAAAAAGGCTTTTTGAAAACTCAATACTAGGGTTAAAATAGGTGTCTAATTCACTTTTTCCTGTGTTGAATTATTATTTTATTAATAATACAGTTCATATAGATCCTTCCCCCATATAATAAAAATCATTTACCTTCGATTTGGTCTAAAAAGGACATATTCTAAAGCATGTGTAGAATTATTTGCGGTGGAGATGAAACTGAAGAGAAGGAAGACAAGGTCAGGTACTCCAAGTATTTGTGTCAGCTGTTTATGGATGATGTGTTCTCTATATGACATTTGTTGCTGAGTATTCCTTCTAAATCTATACCATCCAATAACATTCTGCAATAAAAAAAGAGTAATGTTTCATTATTTAGACACAACTGTTCAGTAATATCATGGCCTTTCTAAGGGGTCATTCTAAACTGGGACAGCAGGTGGAGGAACCTATTCCAAAGTAAGGAGGTTGTTACTAAGAAGGCTTACTTCTAAGCACCCACCCCAAAGGAGAAGGGATTATAAACCTACCCACTCCACAGAAAGTAATGGGTGGGTGGGAAGAGTCTACAGAGATCAGACAGATGCAAAGATAATAGAGATTTGAGTCATGGACAGTGTTTGAATTGGACATGTAAACCAACTGACAAGCAGTGAGGCCCTTATGTTACTGTTCATTTGCTGTATCAGTGTTGTCTGGTCAGAAAGGACCTACTATTTTTAGAAGCTCTACCTTCCAAATCATCCTCGAGGAAAGCCTCATAGTGAGCAAACTACAGTGATCCAACAAAATGCTGAGGGCTTGGATAATTGTTGCTAGAGAAAAGGTTGGAATTGCCACACGAGCCATAGGTGGGTAAGGAAACTCTTAGTGAAATCTTCCATTTGCTGATCCAGCATGAGCTTTATTTAGTCCACAGCTCTCTACCATGAGCCACAGCACACAGATATTACATTATCCCATAGCATCCAGATAAAGATTTTAGATGAACCTATTAGTCATGTAATTTTTTATAAACCTCATGCTATGACATGAAACTCAAAGTCAAGCATTCTAAAGATCCTTAAATGAATGAACCTGTTAGGATTTAAATTCAATAGTTATACTATTGATTGAACTACCGCATGAAATTTTATTATTCATATGACAGAAAGCTATTTACAATGGCTTGTGTATTAAAAACATTAGCAAATAGAAGCCTCAAGTAAACATGTTAAGCCTTTACTATACATTTCACAGACTAACACATTTTATTACATTTTCTGTCAGAAGCTGTCTTTGGGAGACAAAGGAAAACAATGCTGCCTAGAGAACAATCAGGCAAGAGAAGGAGGTGCCCCTATGGACTTAAGGGTCAGAAAAAGAAATTTAGGACCTGCCCTAATTGATTAGATGATTAAATGTGGCAGTAGGAAGTTTATACTTTCAGACTTGCAAGATTCTGTTAGCGTAACCTTATAATAAAGTAGATTTAGCTACTAGCTGTGCTCCCATTGGATTTACCTGGGAAGGCTGACAGAAACCAGCTTGTCTCTGGACTATTACTTTAAAAAGATGTCCAAGAAATAACAGAATTGCTTTTTAAAATAAATAAGTAAAATAAAATCTGCAACAGGAATTTATTCCAAAAATATACATGCATTCAAAATGTATATGACAAATTCTGTTTGAAACTGAAGCAATAATATAATTAAAGATGATTACCCATGAAGCATTTGTAACTGTCAATTTGAAACACTTTGTTTATTTAATATAATTTTTCAGTGACTCTCAGCAAAAACACATTCAAAGGCAAATTAACTCTGAAATGAATTTTTCTATACAATAATCACAGAGCAAAATCTAAATTAACACTCCGAGCAAAAAAATGAATTCATACCGCTTGTTCTAATCTGAATGCAACAAAATGCTTTAAGTGCATTCAGAGAGGAAACTCTTCTAGCTTGTCTTGAAGGCTTTAAAGGTTCTCATAACTCTACTTTAGAATATGACAGAGATGTGACCAGGGCAGCAGCCCTTTTGAGGCTCCTAATCACAAAAGGTGTTTGCTTCCTTAACGATAAATGTTACTAGACAACCCATGATCTGTTGGGTCATCATTTCAGAGATATTTCCTTACCTAGACAGAGAAAGAGAATGACGAGTTGACAAAAATTCAGCAAAAACAGGCACAACTTCTGACTTCCTGTCAGCCTCCCCATTGAATTTCCTTATGGGAAGCTGGCAGTGAGCATCAGGATCCATCCTTCCTTCCTTCCTTCCTTCCTCCCTCCCTCCCTCCCTCCCTCCCTCCTTCCTTTAGCCTTATTCATTATAACCATCTAGAGCAGTGGTTCTCAACCTTTTTAATGCCGCGACCCCAACCGGTCGTAAGTCGAGGACTAAACCGGTCGTAAGTCGAGGACTAAACCAATCGTAAGTCGAGGACTTTCCCTGCCCAGGAGCGCCGCGCATGCGTGGTTCTGCCCCCTGCGCCAGCCGAGGCGTAGCTGGCAAGCGGCAGAGACGGAGCAGGCCGACCACCAGCTGGCCCAGCTCAAGGGAGGTAAGGCACCTGCTGGAAAAGGGGAAAAAAATGGCGGACAAAAAAAATGGCGGACAGCCTTGCTTGGCGACCCCTATGAAATGGTCGATCGACCCCAAATGGGGTCCCGACCCACAGGTTGAGAACCACTGATCTAGAGTAAGCTACATCAGTAAGTGATTTGTTCATAAGCTATCGCTGTCTCATTCTTCAGCAATGGAAAAATGGGGAAAAGAAATATATTTTTAAATATGTCACTACTATCACGGGGGGGATGAAATTATGCAATATGTGTTTGCAGTGCTCTTTACATATATAAAGTCACTTGAAGTACAAAACTTTGCCAAGGTGTAAAATCTTACAGAGCTTCTGGGAAAGAAAGTTTGAGACCTTCACCCTTCTACCTGGTAAGCTTCAGGAACTTAATACAGAAGCATACCATATTAAAGTAACCCTTATATTTCAGGAACTAGACACTTATGGGCACAAATTGACGTCTATTTTTGGCAAGAATCCAAAAGTCTCTAGGAAAAAAAAGTGAATTTGAACTCTATTTCCAAGCAGCAGAATGAAAGACAGTGTGTTTTCATTACCCTGCCTGACTATAGTCCTTAGGTTATCTTGTAATGGTTTAACTCAGAAGAGAAGGAGAATGCTGAGCCATTCAAGAAAATATAACTGAGGTCTGGGAAAAAGCAAAATGTGATAAAAAAAAAAACATTTGCTTTGATTGTGTTAGGTACAGTATGAAGCTGTTTGAATTTTCAATCATTCTGCATAAATATGACCTAAAATGTGATTTGTTTTCCACACAAGTCCTAAAACTAGATAAAGAGAACTCAATTGAAGAAATGAGTCGGAAAAGTTCACCTATTCACTGAGGAAAATGATCCAAAGTTACATATTTGTCTTTATTAGTTTATCTACCACTATTATATAAGTTGAACTCAATAAAAACTTTTATTTGATTTGATGCTGCAGGCAATTGTACTAGTATTCTTTTTGATTGAAATAGACTGTTCGTTTGTAATTGAGTTTTAATTTAAAAAAACTTCGAAAATAATTGATTTGTTTCTATGCTTAGATAATTATGTTCTGAAATGGAACCTCTTCAACCACTCAAATAAAAATCAAAAGAACAATGGTTCATAAATTTCATGACTTTTACTATTTATATGCTAATGTACAGAGTATGGGAAACAATCAAAATGGGCAGTTGCTATCAAAGACAAATATGATTTATTAGGTATAATGGCAATCTGGAAGAATGACTCCCATGACTAGAATAAGGTAATTAAAAGATACAATTTAATTAGTTGAGGAAACAATAGATGCCACAGAAAAGGAGGAGAAATTGTACCACATATTACCATGCTCTCAGAATCCCAAATGTAGGAAGCATTTGTAATATAATAAGGAAAGGAACAAAAAATGCAATGATGTCTAATAATCATCTTCCATCCAAATAGATGCGGATCACACCTTCAAAAATCAAACTGCACATTATTCAAAGCGGCAGGAAGCTACAGTGAAAGGAGACTTGAGTTAACATGTGTCTCTGCAGCACATGATCCTTACAGGAAATTCCCTATTTGACCTGCAGATTACTTCCTACTTTACAAGTGAATGTAAATCACAAAAAGATCAGCTAACATTGACTTGATACTAACCAATATAGTATACTTAACCGAGGAAGTAGACATACAAGAACTTTGAAGGAAAGTGTTGCATAATGCTGGAGTTTTTGGTTTTAAAATAAACGTGAGTATATTCAAATATGTATGTTGAGCTTTAAAAAAATAAGGTTAATACATTCGGCCGATGGGAGCCTGGAACAGGAGAGGCTAATAGGAAAAGAGTCTAAAAATGGATTGGACTTCTTAAGAAGAGATATTAAAAGCACAAATGCAAACAATGCCTGCGGGAAGAACAAGGTCAGCAGAAGACCTAACTGAAAAAACAAAACAAAGGATACATGCAGTAAATAGAAAAAGGTCAGGATCAGATACAAAAAAGTACAGGCAACTAGCTCAGAACTGTAAAGCTGGTGTTAGCAGTCCCAAAGGTGCTTTTCCAACAGGCAACTGGACTTTTTTGTTTTGTCTCTTGAAAATATTTTGCTTTCTCATCCAAGAAGCTTCTTCTGTTCATCTGAAGAACTGGTGAGAAGCGAAACATTTTCAAGCAAAAAAATCAAGAGAAAGCACCTTCGGGACAACCATGACTTGGATGACTTAGAATCTCCAAAGACATCTGGTGTTAAAACAGAAGTTCAGAATGAATCAAGTATAAGGGCTGATGTTTAAAGTAATTTTAAAAAATGGCTTCTGTATAAAGGTTTAAAATAAAAGGCTTAGTATTAGGGTTAAGCCAAACCAGTACATACAAGAATCAGTACACCAGATCCTTATCTCTGTTTTCAATATATGAGAAACAGAAAATCAGGAAGTTACAGGCAAGTCAAATCTAATACTTAAAAGAATTCCATAGAAGGCAATAAAAAGATCAGCCTGTAAGCAAACTGAAAATGATGAGATGTATTAGAAATGAATGTGGATTTGTCGTGAACAAATCTTGCCCTGTCATGCTTAATACATAGTACATCTTGACGTCAAACATCTGACTAAATACTATACAGTTAAGTGTGGGCTGGATTGCAAGATAATTAAATCAAAATCATACATTCAATGTACTCAGAAATTGGGAATACGTACTAAGTGCCCAAGGATCAGTCCTAGGTTGCCCTTAATATTATTATTAATGATTTTGATGAAGAACTGGAAGGAATAATTATATTTGCGGATGATACAAAATGAATTGCTAATACCTCAACCAAAAGAAATAAAATTAGAAATGATCTTGATAAAATAGAGAAATGTGATGAAAGTAATGGATTTACATTTTATAACTCTAAATGCAAAGCGCTTCACTTCACTAGCAATATAATGCGGTTGCTAAAAAAGATAAATGCTATTTAGGCTGTATCAAGAAGTATAGCATTCGTTCACTGGAAGTAATAGTTCTGTATTATTCTGCTTCGGTAAATCACCATCTTATATACTATTTTGGATGCACAACTTTAGGAAGAATTCAGAGAAACTGCAGCAGATTCAGAGAAAGGCAAGAATGATCCTGGAAACTAAAAATTAAGTTATGTGAAGAGAAATTGGGTATATTTTGCCTTAAGAATAGTTGAATGAAAGGGAGATGGCAGCATTCTTCAAATGATTGAAAGGATTTAACAAAGAAGCCGACCTGTGCTCATACAAGAGTAGGGGATAAAGAGTAATGGATTTAGGTTACAGGAAAGCAGATCCCAATTAAGTATTAGAAAAAAATTTCCTGGGTGCTGTTTAACAGTAAAACCTATTATGAAGAGAGGTGGTAGCTTTCCCTTTACTGTATATATTCAAGTAACAACTTAAACAGCCAGAGCTCACTGATGCTTTCATTCTTGCAGAGCTGGGGGTTGGCATCATAAGGTAGACTAGATCAGGAAATTAATTCCATAGAAAGACTAGACTTACATTTTATTGAAACAGGCCAGTAACAGAATCTTGCAAGTCTGCCTGTTATTGTCTTAATGGCTTCTGGATGGTTACTGCAAGATCATCACCATCATAGCTCCCTATAGTTGGACTCAACAACTGAAATGGCTCTTTTCAATTTTGTAACTCTACAATGGTTTTATTCATTTACCAGATTTAGATGGTCACCTAACTCAAACAACTGAGATGCTTGGCAGCATATAATCCACAACAAGCAAACAATAATGGATCAATATAGTTAAAAGCAGCAGTAAAAATCAATAGGCATTTGGAAAACCCAGTTGACTTTATAGCCTTCCAGAAATTTGACCCCAAGGGAAGGATGTTATAAAAACCTTTCAGAAGAGTTGGAGCCAACTATATATTTTATTTATTAAATTTAGAAACTGCCCATTTCCCTAATAGAGTCTATGGCATATGCATATATGTGTTTCATTTCAGAGACAGATATTACAGTGGAAAAGGCAGGCCTCTTAGGTCCTGCCGGAAGACATTACTTCAAGGAAGGGACCCAAACTATGCCCATCCTAATAGAGATGTGGGAAAACCAGAGATCATGGGGATTGATTTTTTGAAAAGTAAATAAAATTGGCTGGAATGAATTCCAAAGATGTAATTAGGTCTTTAGTGTGATGTTTAGTTTGTTTATATCACATTATCCTCCCATTTGGGGGGCATTTTTATCTACATTTAACTATGTATGTATCATCCTATAGTTTTTTTTGAAGAGTATACTGGTAATCTTTCAGTTATGACTCTAATGGACCCTACCCAACACAGCTGTCATTTATGATGGTCAAAAATCAGGTCACCCACATGACTGGTCTGATTTAATGGCCTTTTTGGTGGTCATTAAGCAAATGCTATAGTCATTAAATGAATCAATGCTTCATTATGAGTCAGTTTTGCTGAAAACTGGAAATAAATATCCATTTTTTTTGCAAAACCATGTAAAATATAGTTGTATGACTGTGGGACACCAAAAGAGGCCAAAAACATGACCAAAATGTTTAGCGTCCAAAGTGCAGTCACATGATTAAGGAGGGGTAAGGCCACCATCAGAATGTCAAATTTGGGTCATAAGTACCTTTGGGAGGATCTGTCATAACTTCAAATGGTCCCTAAGTGACCAGTTGTAAGTCAAGGACTACCTCTACTGGAATATTTTGGAAATGTTCAGTTTAAAGTCACTCCTTCTAAGAGCTGCAGGACAATAAATATGAATACAAATGGACCTGAAGACATGTAAGCTTACTTTTCTTCGATTTTTAAGAATCCTGTCCAAATTCTCTTCATTGACTTTGCCTGCATAATCATAAAAACTTAAAAGAAAAAGAAAAAAGAAGTTTAGATTATACATTTAATCATAGCAAAGTGTTGTGAAGCAAAACATACAGATGTGGAAAAAACTATTCCTCACTAATTCTTCTATGTTCCAAGCTGTACAGAGGTTTATGCAATACTTAAAAGGTTGGGGAAGACATGCCCTCATTTAAAAAAATGCTCTTACTCAGAACATTCGGCAGAATTCCACAGCAATACATATAGTAAACAAATAATGTATGAAAGAAATGCTCTGATCAAAAAGAAAAAATGAATTTATCAGATCAAGCAACTCTTGATACATATGGATCACTGGAAAAGATTCCTGCCTCCAATAACTTCTGTTCATCTGATATAAATTGTTTCCTGAATCAGAGAAATGTAAGTAGGTATATTACTACGAAAAAATCCCAGTTTAATAAAGCATGTTTTTAATAATTTTTCCCCATTTCAGCTTGCAACATATATACACTTAATATGCAAAGCATCATATTAATAATATTATGATTATGGCCTCTATTCAGAGAAATGAAGAATTCTTTACTTTACACAACACCTGTTTAATTAATTGAAAATGTCCCAGCCAGACAATGTGTTATTCTTCTATTTTTATATACTTCACAGTATAAATAAGGTCTCAGAAAATAATTTATTCGGTATTTCTGAGGGTTTTTAAAATAAGCTTTTTAAAGTAGATGATTTTAGAGATGATTTTTTTATTAATGCAGTGTAATATTGAATAAAAGAACAGATGAAACATCACAATTATACATTCCCTGAACTCATATTATATTTTAGGTTGTATCTTTTTATTAATTAAATAATTATTTTTCAGTTTTTATACCACATTCGTATGGGCAGGATACAGCACAAGAAAAATTATAAAAACAACCCCCCAAAATAAATAAACAAACCAACCTCCCTCCAAATTACAATTAACAGCACTTTGGATTGAATGTCTTTCAAAATAAAACTTCAAAGGTCTTAGTTATTTATTTATACTTACATTTAAAATTTAAAACGCCGCCCTACACTACAACATTGAATGGCATACAATAAAAAGTCATACAATACAGGTTGTTGTTTTTTTTAAAAAAAATCTTAAAACAGTGGAAGGAAAATAACCATTTAAGATAATCAAACACACAGATGGAGAAACAGCCTGGTTTTCAGAGAACTTTGAAGCTGGGAAGCTGGGTTGGGGGCTGAATACATCTTTTGGCATGGTGTTCCAAAGGGCAGGTACTGTAACAGAGAGATCTTCTAAGTATCATGAAGAAGGGGCTTTAAGAATCTTTCTGGACAAAGAGTTTCAAAGTGTAGGGGCTTTAAAGTTGCCCTTTAAAGTCAAGGGCAACTACCAATCCTTACAAGCAGTCCAGTAAGGTACCATGATCAATGGTACTGAAGGGCACAAAAAGGGTTAACAGAACCAAGAGAGGTGTCCTTTACCCAGGTCCTGATGAAAGTCATCCACCGGAGAACCAATATCATTTCAATCTCTATCATGAGTCTGAATTCTGATGGCAAGGATCGAGATTTTGCTGGGACTATCTAAAGCTGAGCTGCCACCACTTTCTCAATAATCTTTCTCAATAGCCAAACAGAAGAATGGAAACAGGAAGAAGTTATCAAAAAATGCTGGATCCAGGGCTACTTCAAGTAAGGGATCATAACTGCCTCCCTTTAGATGGGCAATATGACTTCATCCTTCAGAGAACTGTTCACAATTTGTCTGATCCAATAACTCATGCCTGCCTAGCTATATGAAGGAGCCAGGAAGGGCACATATCATATGAGAGCTGATTAAATTCATATTATCCAATTCCTTGGGTACAAAAAGCTTACGAGAATCCAGGTAACTTCAGAAGATTTAGCCCTACTTAGCACATTACAGGGGAGATGGGCGGCATAAAAAATTAATAAATAAAATAAATTAATTGGCAGCTCCTGATCTATAATAATATATGGAATTGTATTTATTATTATTATGATAGTTCATTTATATCGCACCTGTGATAAAGACTCAAAACAAATCATTTTATTCCCACAATAGGAACTCTTGAGAAATTGAGAATTAATTCCTGGTCCAAAATTATCTACTGAATACTATAGTTGAATGAGCACCTACCGTAGGTCTCCTGAGTTCCATTCAGATGCTTGACCCGCTATGCTACACTGATTCTTAATGTTGGATTTAGCCCAACAACAACTGGTAAAGGGGAAAAAAAGTATGTGATAAAAGTAACCTACCTAAACAGTTTGGAACAAGGCTCATGATTATGGATTTCTGGAAAAAGAAAACAACACAATTGTATTACTCTAAGGAGATAGACATGCTCTAAAGATAATTTAAAACATTATATTCCTAGCCCACATAGATAGTTCCAGGTTCACACAATCAGCAAATACTTCATTTTTCACAGCACATATCAAGAGTTCACATTTATTAATAATTCCTGAGGAACACAACTCTGCAAGTTTGGCAAACTTAATCACTTCTCAAAATGAATGCATTAAGTAAAGACTTCATTGATACTGCGTGCCCACAAATGAGTGGATCGCTGTGGAAATAGAACATGATTATCTAAAGATAATCAAGCAAAGTAGATTTGTTGCCAAATCTTCAATGCAATGTATTTGCTTTAGGAACTGATTCATATTTTCAAATTATCTGTCAGAATGTCCCACTTAGGGCAGATATGGAGGAGAACCATCTCTACAAAAGACCACCTCCTGAAGTTGAAAGCACAACTGCTAGGATTATGTGAACTACTGAACCTGCCAATAATAACAAGTAAATTTAAAACAGAACGGGGGTAGGTAGAGACAGAAGAACCACAGTTGCTGAGAAGGTGTTCTTTCCTCCATCAGGAGAGCTAAGCCAGCATTTTATAGCTCTAAACCTTCCATCAAACATGGCCTTTCTGAAAATCTCTTTATAACAACATGGCATCTTTTAAGTCTGTGTCTCCGAAAATATGGCAAAAGCCTTTACAAAATACAAACAATTCCAACTCAATTTTAAACAAAACTGGATAAGAGAGGCACTGACATTCCTCCTTCTCCCTCCACTTTTGCAGAAAAAGTCAAGATAATCACTTTCAAATTTAATGTTCAATGCATCATGAATCTGTTAACCTGGAATAATTGTCTGTATTTGAGTATACATAGTCATATTCATGACTCTGCATATGTTAAAATCAGAGAGCATATAAACTATACTCAGCAAGATAAATCAAATAACACTGCTTGCCTCCTGCCGAAATACTTTCTGGACTCACATTAACTTGACTCTGTAATCAGAGTATCCATAATCAAATTTTTAATTGTGCAAGCCACCTAAAGTCACTTATGCAAGATAGGCAGATATACAAATTGAACCAATAAGCAAGCAAACATGCAATATAATCTAAATAGATACAATATTACATTGTATTGTTAGAGAGAAATTTAATACCACTTACCAATTACTTGGAGAAATTCTGTGTTGCTAATCTGAGAGTCACTAATACTGAACGTCTCCTCTTGTCTTACCTCTCCTAATAAAAATCCTTCCTGTAAAAAGAAAAATATTTTGATTAAAGGTAGAAAAATAAAAGCTGAATTTATTTCTTTTCCCTTATGATGCACTTTTCATAGCTTCACACAATTAAAAATGGCGTTTACCTTTGTTTCTCCCAGAAAATTTAACATCAGAGCAATAGGAATTAATATAAAAGTTAAAAGGCATAAATCGGCAGTACGAGGTCCATTTTCCTTGGTGTGGACATAATTCAGTCTATCCAAGTATGAAAAAACTGTGAGGTGAGATGATTCTCTAAACCTCACATTCTGAAAAATTAATGGTGCGTGAAACCCCATTATATAAAGCTGGATGTAACCTCCAATAGAATCCCAATAGTTTCCAACAGAGTTTAAATATAAAAGAAGTTTGGCACATAGATTTTATTCATTTTTAAAGATACAAAACTTGTACTATTAGTTGTTTGTGGAGCTAAACATCCATGCATAATTTAATGACCCCAATTGCACTTAAAATAAAGAAAAAAATCTACATAGAGATAAAAGCAAGTTTGAAAGTTAGATGTATTCTCTTCCTATGTAACCATAAGTTAAAAGACAAACCACACAATGAATACAGGCAAGATCATGGTGAAGCTAAGACATACAAGGGTGTAAATGCAAACTTCTATAAATTACTTGCTGTTGGTTTACTTCTGGACAAATAAAGCTAGCATTGCATTCCCAAACTGATATAGCAAGGCCATTTTTTTCGTGGTAATAAGATTTTCAAATCTGTTATTACTGATAAATATATTACTTTAATATATGAAATCCTTTTAAACTATACTATAGGGCAGTGATGGCGAACCTATGGCACGGGTGCCAGAGGCGGCACTCAGAGCCCTCTCTGTGGGCACGCGAGCCATCACCCCAGTCCTAGGCCTTCATCTGGGCTTTATAAAACCTTTTCGCTTTAGACTGCCACTGCCGTGTGCAAAAAAAAAAAAAGTTCAATCAGTCAATTTCAACTTCTCGCGGAAAAAATAAGATCTTGCAAAGTTGGAATTGATTGAACTTTTTAGTCCCACCCAGTCTACCGTTACCACCGCAGCCACGCCCACCCAATGGGCCACACCCACCCGGCATTCGACGATGCATAAGTGGGTTTTGGGTTGCAGTTTGGGCACTCGGTCTCTAAAAGGTTCGCCATCACTGCTACAGGGGTTATAATACTGGTAACTTATTACCATCTAAAATGGCAATGCTTATTTATTGAGTTTGGTCAAATCTTTTTCAGAAAAGTAGAAAAAACATTAAAGTTCAAGTTCATTTCTCTTATTTTTTAAGAAATGCAAAACTTTTAACAAAAGAAATCTATTAATTATTAAACTTATGAAAACAATGGCAAACCAATGCACCTCCTTTTTTGCATCGATGTTGTTTAAAAATATGAAGCATACCAGCAACTGAAGGCATCTTAGAAGACATCCTTAAATATTAATTTCTTTTCAGATTTGTTCTCTATTGTTTTATACAAAAATAATCTCAAATAGTTCTCATATAGTCAGATTCATATATATTGGAACAATAATGTGTTTTTTGGCATTTGACCTCTATACACCACTTTTAAAATGAATTTGAAATGAAACACACAAGATGGGAGAGAAGCAATGACCTTCAGCTTTAAGGGATTTGCAAAAATGACATTAACTATTGAGGAATTACACACATTTTAATACATTCAGCCCCCTTTTTGTGGCTTATAAATAATGGGACAAATGGCTGACAAGCAGTTTTAAGGCCAGGTGTGGCCTGTTCCCTCATTAATCCATGACAAATCAATATAAATAAAGCTGTGGAGCTGGTTCTGAGTGTTACATTTGCATTTGGTAGCTGTTCACCGAAAAATTCATCATGGAGTCTAAAGAACTATCTATGCAAGTGAAAGAGTACATCATTAGGCTGAAAAAAACAAATTAAATCCACTATACAAATAGCAAAAACATTGGGAGTGGTTAAAAGAACAGTCTGGAACATTTTTAAAAAGAATTAAGAACCAGCAACACCAAAAGGCCTGGTAGACCACAGAAGACAACTAAAGTGGAGAACTGCAGAATTCTTTGACAACATCAAGAACACTGTTGAGGTAGGAGTGTCACTGTCAAAGTCTACAGTCAACAGCTTCATGAATGTAAATACACAAGTTTTACAACAACACACTGTTTTAAATAAAAAATCAAAACCATTCATGTGACTGAGCAGAAGACCTTAATTCTTACAGAAAAGCATATGGAACAGCAACACACAGATATAAGTTTGAAAATATATTTGGCCAGAATCTGGCATATGACAGTAAATTCTCACATTAGCTGTTTTAATGGCTAATTTGACCTATCTAATTCTAAACCATCATTCATTATATTTTGCTTATCTAAAATTATCTGCATTAACAAACCTTACCTTCCTAGTAAACTGAGAGTAAAACTGTATTCTTCTAGCAATACTACAATGCAAATTTGGCAGGTGAGGCTTCCAAGCAATACAGCTAAATTATAATTTGCAACTCTCCAGAGAAGAAAGCTTTTAAAAAGAGCACCTGGTGTTGCTCTCCCCACTCCCAAACTCTCTGATAAATGAGAACTCAAGAGCAGGCACTCTGTCAGTTTCCCAAGTAGACCAGACAGGAAACACATGATGAACTAATTCTGCTTTATTATAAGGATACATTAACAGAAGTTTACAAGTCTGAAAGTACAACTTTCTCACCATTTTTTTCACCACCTGGTAACTTAGGGTGGATCCTTTCTAAGTTTCTTTCTCTGCCTGTTACTCAGTGGTGGGCTCCTCCACCTTTTATCTGATTGTCCCCTTGGCAACATCCCCCCCTCCCAGATCATTCCATTCCATTCCATGCATCTTGTTTGGACAAACAGAAAGTGATGGGGAAAAAGAGTCCCTAAGATAGCCAGAACCACAACCATATAGGTTCAGCTAAAGCAAGCAGACATTTGTTTGGCAACAGCAATATAGGACGATGCTGGAGGCAGGTGATCGCTTTAAAGACAATAACAAAGCCATTGTCTGAAGGACCAGAATAGAGACAAAATAAGCTGGGCAAAAAAACAACAACAAAAAATATAATTGCTAAGAGTTGACGCTCACTTGATGGCACATAAATAAAAACCAAATGACTAAGATTTGAACTGAACCTGGAAATCTATTGGGGATCAGCATGCATGCCATTGTGTCCTGGACTATAGTAATTAAAGTGTCTAGGTGGGTTTTCAAGAACAGACACAAATAAAGACCTAAATGAATCAACATGACAACAGACATGAGTGACTATCAGTTAAGGTTGCCACCTGTATATTAAAAGCAATGAACCTCCTAGACACAGTCTCTACTTATTCTTCAAGCAAGAACTTTGAAACTAGAAAGAATCTCCAAAGACAGCCGCATCAAGACTCAAAATTGTTCGCAGGACCCAAGGTAGAAATAGGCACATCTGGAGATTTTCTGCACATTGATGATACCTCAGTCTGAATTGATAGATGATGTTCCCAGTGGTTTCATGTTAAACGTGAAATAGGACTGGGAAAGAAATGAACTCTGAGGCATTGCATATCAAAAGGCCTGTGAGTCTGAACCCTCTCCCTACAGCGATTCCCTACAACTATCTGGAACCACCCGGTCAGTTAGGAATAGAATGATCGTAATACTGTGCCTCCAATTTCCAGTCATGATCTGGAAGGATATTGTGATTGACAGTACTGAAAGGTGCCAAGAAATCTAGGAGGACAAAGATGCCAAACACTGTTTCGTCGTCTTCTACCTCATGAAAGGGAATAGAGCAGTAGAGATAGTCCTCAGCTTACAATAGCAATTGAGTCCAAAATTTTGGTTGCTAAGTGAGACAATCATTAAGTGAATTTTGACCATTTTACGACCTTTTCTGCCATAATTAAGTGAATCATAGCAGTCATTAAGTTAGTAACATTGTTGTTAATTGAATCTGGCTCCCACACTGAATTTACTTAATAGAAGGTTGCAAAAAGGTAATCACAGGACACTGCAACCATCATAAATAGGAGCCAGTTGTCAAGCATCTGAATTTTGATCAGGTAACCATGAGGATGCTATAACGATTCTAAGTGTGAAAAACTGGTCATAAGTCATTTTTTTCAGTGCCATTGTAACTTCAAACTGTCACTAAATGAATGGTTGTAAATCGAGAACTGTCTGTAGTTGTAAAATTTTATTAGATCTACCTAGCTTCTTGAGTAGTGGGGGAACCAGTACCTTTTTAAAGACCTTTGGCATGTCCTCTTCGCTTGAAAGCTACAGCTCTGATTTAACTTCTATTCTCTTCACTGGCCCCTTTATTAGCTAGGAGGGCTAATGAACAATGAAACAATTTCCTTATAACCCTACTGGAGGATCAGGACTGAGGCTTACTACAGGTAATACTGCTAATCTGAATGTTGCTATTTGTGAACTATTTCAAATATTTAATCAGAATAGGCCTGACTACTACTTCATTTTCCTGGATTATTTTAAATTTAAACAATTATAAATATGTTATTGTATCTATAAGGTGTTATATAGAGAAACTGATTTTATACATATCAAAGGTAAAAATACAAACATACTTTTGGCATGGTCCTCCTCACTTTCCTGGCTTTCTAGAAATTGGTAAAAAGCTGCATTTGCAGAACATCTTTGTAAATTAGTTGTATAGTCATCAACACCTTATTAATCTAATGCCTTGTATTATTATGGTAATTTTTGTTTTATATTGTAGTATCTAGATTCCCACTGGGTTTAGGTGGAAATAAATAATATAAATGGTACATAAAAAGATTGCCTTTAGAAACAATACAAAGCTACCATTAACATTATTCTACAGATTTTGATTAGTTGTAATAATCCCTCAAGCAACAGTATTGCTGTCATCTCTTCCTTAAAAAAATATTCTCAAAAAGGTTATGTGCTATCATCTTAAATATGCTGAATTAACTTAATTAAGCCAAGCCAAACATCGTAGAAACCAGGAGTTTGTAGGAACATATCCTAGCAGCCAAACATATTGTTTTTGTCTCCCCCCCCCTACTTTTAAATTTCCCGAAGAAGCTTCTTGCATGAGAAGCAAAAGAACAAAAAACCCAAGAAAGTCTAGTTGCCTTTTGGAAAAGACATTGAATATGTGTGAAAATATACATATTCCTGATTATCTTTCACCAGGATATTAAAAGAAATGCAATCATATCAACATAAAAATCTACTGATCTGTTTCCACATTTCTCCAAGTTTTTTTTCACAACCCTCACTCTAATAACAAACTCTGATTCCAAATAGGAACAGAAATAGAATCACTTAAAAGTGAAAAGTATCAAGATATTTGAAAAAAACAAAACAAACCAACCCTGCAAACATTGTCTGAAACAGTCTAGTATGGACTGAGTATGCTGACTTGGAATGCTTTGAATTCAACAGAGAGTAACTATCCTGAAAATGGACCTAGTTGGACCCAACCATAAAGAGTACATACACCAGCTGACCATAGCACAGTGTTTCTCAACCTTGACAATTTTAAGGCATGTGGACTTCAACTCCCAGAATTCCACAGCCAGCATTGCTGGCTGTGGCATTCTGGGAGTTGAAGTCCACATGCCTTAAAATTGTCAAGGTTGAGAAACACTGCCCATAGCAGGTCCACTCTTTAAGCTTTTAAAATGCACATCCATACCAACACACGTAGGAACATCTAATCATACAAGCATAGTTACTCAAGATGTACAACACAACTGTCGTTTCTAAAGTTTCTACTCTCTCTGATGAACATGGGCATTTCCCCCCCCCCAAAGCTGAAGTGATATTACAGCTGCAAAAACTACTTCCTCAATATAATTTTGCTGAGATAGCAATTCCGAGACTGCCCAGCCTAGATTTCACAAACCTGCTTATACAGCCTGCCTCCCAACTAACGGTTCCCTCCACCCCTTTCACACGACAGCTCCACAGGTGCCCCATCCCCAATAGCGCTGGGTCTTCATTGGTAAACCTATGCTCTGCTTTTCCCGCGACCCAACCCCCAAATACTTGCTTCTTTTCAGACACCCCCTCCAACCACTTTCCCTTTCGACGGCCCCTACTTCCGCGGGTCCTTCCCTTCTTCCGTCCCCACCACCACCTCGGTTCCCCAGCGGTCGCCGTGCATTCCTCCTCCTCCTCCTCCTCCTCCTCCTCCTCCTTTCGGTCCCTTTTGGTCCCACTGATTTCCTTCTTGCAGATCGCCCCTTTTCTCGCACTTTCCCTCCCTTCCAGAACGGGGCGGGGAATCCCTCCTGCCTTCCCACCTCGAGGAGGATTAAAATCACTGGCAGGCCAAAATAACTTACGTGATCGGCGCTGCTGTTGGCGCTGTAATAACAGACAGAACTGAACGTATAGCCCGAAATGGAAGCCGCCATGATGGAGCCCCACCACCCTCCGACGACGACGATCCCACAAGCCACCACACACCCGCAACCTCCCCGGCTCGCCTCGCGCCTCGATTTCCGGCCAGCGCGTGGGGCTTCCTGGGAAGTGTAGTTCACCACAGGCAAACTCAAGTCAGAGCCTGCCTAAAATTGGAGCGTATATAGAGCCAATAACTAATGGAGCGTTATTATTCCTTGCGTAGAGCATATTTGGCGATCGGCTCTTTCCCAGCTGTCCCAACTGGGTAGGTATTCTTTTCTCGTTCCCTGTTGTTTTGTTCCAAAGCATTGTAAGAACAGTTCGGAATGGCGGTAGGTGTGGAGACGTAACTCATCTTTTTGTAATGACTGCCACTGTAAACCGCGAAAACAGCCGCTGCTATTTCTTCCTCAGCCTTCACTCCCCGGAAGAGAGGTTGAAAGAAACGATAAAAGGGAGTCTTCCTGCGGCATAAAAGAGGCTAACCTTGGACGTGGCGCTGCATCTTTTCCGGCAATGAGCAGCTGCGGAGAGGAAGAGTTTGAGCCTTCGGCGCTGGGGACCAAAGAACAGTGAGTACTCGAAGAGGGAGGCTCGGTTGGAAGCAACAGAAACATCTGTATTAGTCACGTCCTCACTAATCACCAAATCTAACTCTACTTCTAGGTATTGCTTTTAAGAATAGAACAGGAATAGGAATAGAATTCTTTATTGGCCAAGTGATTGGACCCACAAGGAATTTGTCTCCGTTGCATAAGCTCTCAGTGTACATACAAGCAACAAGTGACAAATCATAATACAATCATTTATTTATTTATTAATTAAATTTATATACCGCCCTATCTCCCTTGCGGGACTCAGGGCGGTGAACAGGCGATACTAAAAACCACGATAATAAATAAATAGTTTGTTTTAAAATCGAATTAAATAACAGGCCTTTTCTAAAAACACACCCGTAAAAAACCCCCCACTGAAACATAATCAAACTACGCCAGGCCGGCCGCACGGAATAGATGGGCCTTCAGGGCTCGGCGAAAAAGGCGCAGGTCCGCAACTATCCTAAATCATAAGATAACGACACTCAGGGATGAGGGTAAGATACTAAATAAAAGCAATCAAAATAAACTCACGAATGTACATAGACAATAAAGAGCTACATATAACTTGATACGTCTAATCACTCGCACCAAGAGTAAATCAAAAGTTCAAACAAATTGGAATTGTGAACCATACTAGAGAGACAAACATTTAGTTGAATTTTTGGATTAAAAAAAAAAGCCTTACTACCGGTATATATCATTGCATTCTAAAAAGCAGTGTTTCTGCCAGGGTGTACAAAAAGAGATGAACTGATTTTAAGGACGGTGCTGATTTATTTAAAGCTTTTATTATTTTGAGAGAAATGAATCGCATTTTTATTCCATCTGGAAAGATTACATAACGTTAAAAATAATACTTACAAATGGGGACCATGACATGAGATATGCTGTTTTTGGATGTTATCTTCTACTCTTGTTTCTTGTGTTACAAAATGTTTTTTAAAAAAGCCTTGATAAGTTGATAGGTTTTGTAATCTAGCTATCCATATAGACCTTCCTGTCTGGTCAAAACATAATTAAAGTTCTTTCCATTTCCAGAGAATAGCTCTGTTCTCAGAACAAAAAACTATAGAATCATTCATTGTGGTCAGTTGATTTGGTATGTTTTGTAAACCCAGGAATTTGGGTTCAATGATTAAGTCATCATATTACCATGATTAAATTAACTATGGTAGTTATATTGGATTCTTATATCACTGTTTTAATATATAACTCAAAGCGGTAAATATATTTAATATTCCTGCCTCCTGTTTTCCCCACAACAAATGGGCATTATGTGCACATAGATTCCAAGTGGAAAGAGGGATACCTTTTCTTAAACAGATGAGGGGGAAATGTCAAGCATTTACTAACATCCTTATTCTTTTTTCTTGTATAGCTGGGATGCAGCATATGAACGAGAACTACATAATTTTAAAGAAAGTGGTGATACTGGGGACATTTGGCAAGTATCTATAACCATGAAACATGCTTCAAAACATGTTTGTAATTTATTTTCTTTTTTAAAGTGCAGCTGTTTTTCTCAGAGTACTGGTAATGTGATATTCTGGGTTTTTTTTTTTGAATGCCAACTCTTTTCTTAGGTAAACCTGTTGCAAATTAAAATAGCTAATCATCATCTGTCTGTTTTTATGTGGGAAAAATGAATTGCTGACTACAGTATACTTGGTAAAGGTAAAGCATTCATATCCTTGATCTTTTCCAAAAATTGAATAAGAAGTACAGGCAAAGATACATTGAAGCATGGAACGTACTGTACATGTATATGTAAAATTGACAGTATCTCATCCTCTGCAACAAACAGACTTATCTAAATAAACCTGTAATGTGATCTCTAGAGACCAATACCTTAATGGTGACATGATGTGAATGACAAAATGTGTTTGTCTTCCTTTAGCATAGACTAATGGAGTAATTTATCTGAACCTCTCTTTCTAATTAGGTTTGGTGAAGAAAGTATGACTCGTATAATTAGATGGCTAGAAAAACAAAAGATACCTCTGGATGCTTCTGTCCTTGACATTGGAACAGGAAATGGCATTTTGCTGGTTGAATTGGTTGGTATTTGTAGTATTAGTGCTTTCTGATGCAAAATGCTTACAGCAGAAATTGAGCAAGTAAGAAACTTTAATGAAATGGTCAGATTAAATTAAATGTAGAATATGCTGATTATCCTGCAATGGTCTATGGTCATGATATGATTTTTTAAAAAAACAAACCCTTCATATTAAGCAAGGAAATATTCAGTTTCATCAAAGGTCAGTTGTATCAGAATGCTGACTTAAATATTTAGAATTACAATTCGAAGAATCAAAATGCAATATAGATTAAGGAATTTGTGAAAATTATTGAACAGCTGCCCCTGAATTACTAGCTGTACTCATGAAGTCCTAATATTGTTTCATTTCTTGACCTACACTACCCACTGCAATGGCAACTGGTTTTATTTTCTCAACTTAATAGTTACAGAATTTGCAGTGCATTGTTGTTGCTAAGATGTGTAATACTGGAAACAAATATTCCTATGTTAAGTTTTAAAAGGATGAATAAATATTCTGCCTTTGCCAAAGAGTCCAATGCCCTTTAATCATAGTGTAACCATAAATGAGTTCATGTGTATATTACATGAATAAATAGCAGGAAACAAGAACCTTTATATCTCTCTTAAAATCCAATGTGTGATTTATTTTTATATTTAGTATCCAAGTACTTATTTGTTAGACTGATGCAAAAAAAGAAAAGTATCAGAAATATGAAAATTTGATTCACTCATACTACTTTTACTGTATTAGTGTAGCTTCTGCATGACATTAACATTTGTGTTTAGTGCAATGTACTGTAGCCAATGGAATCTTTCTATTGATTACTGGGAACTGAAATTAGAAAAGTAATTAAGCCCTTGTAGTTTTTCTTGCAAAATAAGTTATGTAATTTTTTCCTATAGGTTGGTGTGGCTTGCATAATTATATTTTAGTTCTCCATAGGTTAACCGTGATGAATGCATCATGAAAGCCAACTAGGAAACAAACTAAACATGTTTAGTGCTTAGTGAATTTTTCTTCTCTTTAGAGTAAATGTGGTTACACCAATCTTACAGGAGTTGACTACTCTCCTTCTGCAGTGCAACTTTCAAAAAATATAATGGAAAAAGAAGGGCTATCTTATATTAAACTGCTGGTAAGTTTTTGTGAGGGACAAATGAAGAAGAGGATACTTAAAATTATCAGGAAGAAGTGGGATTTGGGGAAATATAGTATAAATGTAAAAGACAAATGATTGAGGACTGGCCTGATTGAATTGTATTAAAAATTCTCTTGACATTCAGAGATTTCATTTACTGAACTCCAGTGCAAACATTTAAATCAATATTAACCAAGTTAAAATGTCTTCCTTCCTACTAGCTATATGGAGCTCCTCAGTCATATTCATCAAGGGATTAATTATAGATCATTGGAACAAGAAACCTTACTGTACAAGCAAAATGCAATTCTGAATGTGATCAAGAGCAAGAAAAATTTTCATGTATCAAGATAGGGGTGCTGTTACCAATTCATACAGGATTGACAGTTGTTTAAAGAGATGTGAGTTCTTGAAGAAAATTTTTTTAAGGCTGCAGTTCCAGATGACACCAAGTATTAAGTCCTACTACATTCAATAGGGTTTACTTCTGTTTAAATGCACGTGGCTTCTGGAACTCCTACCTCATTACCAGAAATAAATGTTTGTGTGCCCAGGGAAGCCCAGGATGGGCTGCATGTGATTTTGAAACATGCATGAGGAGAGTTTTTATGTAACTTTTTCTTCCCTGTCCTTGGCATTATTTGGATCATTTTCAAACTCTCTTGCTAGCTTCCCTCCTCACATTTGGTCCCATTCTGTTCAGTTTTCAAGTGCTGATAAGACGATTCTCTATGCTAATGCACAAATAGTCGAGACCAATTTATATTAGGTTGAGAGGAGTAAAAATCATCAAACATACAAAAATAGATGATTGATGTGCAGTCAAACTATTATTTTGGGCATGGAGGCAATGCAGTTCTGCTTAGTTATAAAAAGTAACAATTGCATTAACATGTTCTTACGTTTAACAGTTATATCTACCTTCTACAGATTGAAGACATTTTAAATCCCTCAAATGAATTGTCAAGTTTTCAGATCTGCATTGATAAAGGGACTTTTGATGCTATTAGTTTGAGCCCAGATAGTGCAGCAGAGAAAAAGAAACAGTATATTAAATCCCTCCAGAGGCTGTTGAGATCAAATGGCTTTTTCCTTATTACATCTTGTAACTGGACTAAAGAAGAACTGTGCAAACAATTTGAAGAAGGTGCATGATAAGTTTCAAATTGTATATACCTAACTTAAAATGTGACTTTGCTTTTTATGTCTTCCAAGGAAAATACTGTAACTCCTATTTAAGCAATACATTAGTTGAGTTTTGGACTGATTGATTGATTAAACTTTTTATGCTGTCCATCTTGCTGAGGCAACTCTAGTTGGCATACATTCATATAAAGAAAATGATATAAAACCTAAAACAATAAAAATTGTACATTTAAAATTCAATTAACATTAATTTAACCAAGATGAGAGGAAGGGAGCAAAGTGTGCATTGAGGAAGAGGTAGGATCTGTCTAACTCATTAACCACCTCCAAGATGTGACTGTCCCATTGAGGCCCCTGGCCAGCCAGCAGAGCCAGGTCTTCAAGCCCTTTCGGAAGGCCAGAAGGGTGAGTGCGGATCTCAGTAAGGGTGGGGGGGAAATCACAGCAGAAAAGGTTCTCCTCCTGGACCCCATTAGCTGAAATTCGTTGACCAATGAGATTTGCAGCATGCCTCTTCTGCCAGCGTGGGTGGATTGGGTTCATCTCATCAGGATGAGCTGGTTCCTCAAATACTATCATTGGATCCAATCTATATTAAAGCAGTAGTAAGCATTCTTCTGCTCATCTTCATTTGAATGTGTATGATTTAGGCCTGTTAAACCCTTATTCTAAAAGGTTGATGATCTGAAGTTCAGTGTAAACTATAAATGGCTTAAATAATTTCCAAGTTCCATAATTTCAATTGAAATATGTTGCAACAGACATGTTGTTTTCAAAATATATAGGCTATTGAAAAATGAAGGATAGCAGTGAAAAATGAAGGATAGCAGTGCGGTGGTATAGATGTGAAGATGCTTGCCTCCCACTTGAAAAGTTCAGAGTTCAGTCCTAGGCAGCACAGATGTTTATCAGGGCCCAAAGAGAAAATATCTGCTGTGAACACCACGTAGGCATCAGGAAGGGCATCCAGCCAGTAAATACTCAGCTCCATTCAGTTGCCCCAACTCCACCCCAATAAAAAGGGATTACAGTGTTATAAAAAGAAAAAAAATTGTGAAGATGAAGGATGTATATTTGCCTTTTTGAACTCAGTTATATTATTGGTTGCCTTTGTATTACATTTTTAATTATACAATGCAGAAATACTATAGTAATGTATCAAAGAAAGGATGTTAGCAATCTTTGCTTTCTCCTTTAGTTGTTTTCATAATACCAAAAATAAGCTGCTTTTTAACTGAACAGCAGTTTGGCTCTGGCAATGAAAACATCTGTGATTTGCAGTAGTGTATAAAGTATGTGCAGTTCTGGGTTAAATCAAAAATCTTGACGCCTTAGTCATTAACCTTTCATATGTGAGACAGAATAAGGCTAGTTGGAAGACTTACTAACAAAAACATTTAAGTTTTTTTAACATCCAATTGCTAGTTTCATAATAATCCATCTTACACATTCCTATTTAAACACTTGAAAATAAGATGCTATGCATATTCCTATTAAAAATATGGCACTACCCCATATTCTTTATGGCCCTTATTACTTCATTTTCTTGCTACATCATATTTCTATCATTTGATAAAGACAGAAACGGCATGCAAAAATATTACTACTGGTATCAAATTCAAACAGTTAAAACCAAGACTAAGCTTTTAGATGTTGTGGGAAATACAATTTTGGGTTTCTAATAATTGGTTACTGACACCAAGAAAAATAATTTCATATATCTACTTCCTGAAACTGCACTTACTGTTATTCATAACCTTTTATTTATGTGCAGTTTATGTGGGTCAATACTATAAAATTACCGCTCTTAATTTTGCAGAATTTGCTGTATTGTATGTATACTGTTTGAATTAATATCAGAATTTAAAGGGTTAACAAGGCTTCTTTTTAATAGAAATATTTTCCTTATATTTAATAGGGTTTCTACTTTTGGAGGAACTGCCATGCCCAACCTTCTGCTTTGGAGGAAGAACTGGAAATAATGTAACTGCCTTGGTTTTACAAAAAACATAACAAAGTTTTGAATAAATTTTGGGATGAAGATCTCCTTTTGTGAATTTTGGATTTTACCATAGAACTGGATTCAAAAGTAAAATACAAGTTTTAGAAATTTGATAGATGTCTATATGTTTGATTTTTTTTGAGGTAAATAAAATATCTATTTATATAAAATGAATTTATATAAGTCCTGTGAAGAAATTCATTTATCATTGTAGCTGATGATGCAATTCCTTAAGACAGTTTATTTAGAAATGTGATAGATTGCTTGATATAACCGATTTGATATTTTTTTAAAAAACGAATTAAACCTGTGCGTGTATCTTGTTACCTAAAGAATGCAAAAATGGTTCTATTCCCTGAGGGGTAAAAATAAGTGTCTACAAAACATTATTAAAATATTCCTACTGTAGTAACATATAAGAAATAAAAAGAAGAATAAGAAGATCAAACTTAGAGAAAGTCTATACAAATGATTGTATATTAAGCACATCTAAATACCATTTCTGCATCGGAGACAATTTCTTGTGTGTACAATCACACTTGACCAAATAAAGCAGGCATGTCAAACTCGAGACATCGTGACATTGCATGACATATTCCGACTTTTTCCCCATTGCCGGCAATGGGGTGGGCACGGTTTCGGCATGACACAACCGGTCTGCGGGCTGACAGTTTGACATGCCTGAAATAAAGTCTTCAATTCAATATTCTAAAGGACAAAGAAGCCAAACATTAATTGATCCTAGTTAGGCAAACATTGGTGTTTCTGCGGCAGTCAGCTGGAAGGGTTGCATGACACAGGTCACTAAGTGATTTACAGTTTCAGTATATAGATGACTGATTATCACCACATATAGCATTAATTCTAGTTTTCAATTCAGAGAAATCAGAAATAGAAGTCTTAAACATGATTGTGCTCTATCTGTAAATTAAAATTTAGGAACATTTTAGTTCTACAGTACATACTTTTAACTGCTTTCTTTTCAACACTTTGTGTCTTCATTGGTTTCCACAGCTTCTAGCATTAAAAAATATTCAGTATGAATAAGTGATGCTTCACGGCAGTATCTCTAGCAGCATTTGGATTGTTTCATATCTGTCAGCAAGGGCATATAATTGTGGAATGAAGGACCAGTACTAAAAAAAAAATGCTTCTTTGGAAATTTATGAGATGCCAATTTTAATTTTAGAAAAACAACAAAGAATATATGTATCCAAGTCTGATATCTCTGGGACTTATAAATTTCTCACAAGATTTTTATGTTTTATAGTAGGGGATGAACCCTTTTTTCCCTCCCCTGGCCTAAGTAAACATTGTAGACAGTAAGGGAAATGACCTTGACAGATATAGTGTATGCAGGTGCTGTTGCCTAAGCAAAAGAGGCTGAAGCATTTTTAAGTGCAAAACCTCCAGATAACATTTGAAAGCAGTTCAAAGAGACATTTCCCTAAACCAGGGGTGTCAAACTCAATTTCATTGAGGGCCGCATCAGCATTGCGGTTGCCCTCGGGGGGGCGGGGGTGTGTGGTCGGGGGTAGGTAGGTGTGTGGTCAGTAGGGTGCGGCCTACTGGGTGGGCGTGGATGGAGTGGATATGGCCTACATTGTTCGCGTCAAGGGTGCCTGTCGGGGCCTGGGCAGGAGTGGGACAGATCTGAGGGTCTCTGGCAGAAAGGGGTGGGACCGGAGCAAGCGCCAAGGTATGGTCCATTTCTTCATTCCTCACAAAGGGTGACACTTCCCCAGCATACACCCAGGGGCGGGGCCAACGCGGCAGGGGCTGGTTCCTCGCTGTTTCTAGACGGCCTTGTGGAGCTAAGACTGAATGCGTTTCAGCATAGATGGCCACCACAAAATTGTACATTGGCTCCTGGCCGGCCTGGGCCAGGGCCAAGGCAGCGGGGGCCGTTCCCTCACTGTTTCCAGGATGGCTTTGCGGGCCACATGAAACCACTTCGCAGGCCGCATCTGGCCCCCGGGCCTTGTGTTTGACATGTCTGCCCTAAACTAAACCATAAAAAGGAGGAGCAGTTACAGCACATTTGGCCTTGCATGAATCTAGTATAGCCAATCTCAGCAAAAGTTTTAGCCATTCTCTAGAACTGACTTCATGTCAGTGAGGCTGACAATCACACGTATTTTTAAATTGTTTTCAATAAGGTATATTAGTCATGCAAGACATTATATCATATTAGAACAGAATGCAAACGTACTTTACTCAATTTTATTGTTCAGTTGCTAAGTCGTGTCCGACTCTTTGCGACTCCACGGACCATAGCACGCCATTTCTCCACTGACTTCCATTGTCTCCCTGAGTTTGCCCAAATTCATGTTCACTGCATTGATGACACTATCTAACCCATCTCATCCTCGGCTGTCCCTTTCTCCTTTTGCCTCCAGTCTTTCCCAACATCAGTATCTTTTCCAATGAGTCCTCTCTTCTCACTTGGTGGCCAAAGTATCTGAGCTTCAGCTTCAGCATCTGTCCTTCCAAAGAACAGTCAGGACTGACTGTTTCCTTTAGGACTGACTGTTTCGATTTCCTTGCAGTCCAAGGAACTCTCAAGAATCTTCTCCAATTTAAAAGTATCAATTCTTCGGCGCTCAGCCTTCCTTATGGCACAACTCTCATGGTCATAGCCATAGCACTGAAGTAGTATTTTAATTTCATCTGAAGTATGAGAAATATAGGAATTTCCTCTACTAACTTATTCTATAATTCCCCTGTACTAATATCTGTCCTATCTTCACTTTGCAACATCTAGAGGGAACTGTTTGTTTGAACAACCTACCCTATATTAGGAATGGTTTGCAGGCCAGAGTTTGTTCTCAAATAAGTTCTTTGGTTCTGCTTAATGTAAAATATTTACTGCACTACTCTAAGGAGAATAATTGTTGACTTTTACATTGTACATATGAATTATTTCTTAGAAAATGCCCAGATAACTTCCACTTTTTTATTTAAAAGATTTGTATGGCAGCTTATTTTAAAACACAACTCTAGGTGGCTCATAGCAGTTTGTATTTTGAGGTTTTTTTCCAAGAAATATATTGGCTCCTTGGATAGTCTCTATCTTCTGAAACTACTGGATAAGTATCACCCACTCCATAAATGCCCTATTACTTTGAAAGTCAGCTATATAGAACGGCATCATGCTATTATTCTCTAGAGGAAATACTGAGGATGACATATGGCAGTTCTGTAGGAATGATTTGTACTTGAATATTTTGCATTCAGAACTTGGATTTTTGTTCTTGAATATTTTTGTAAACAACACTTGGGTACGATTGTTTTGATCTATATTTTAGCTCCTGTCCTTATCCCTCCTATTCTTCAACAATAATAAATATATACAGTGCCTGGCTTGAAAAAAAACTATAACTTGTTTTACCTTTTACCGCTCAGAGTCCCCCTGTAACATAGATGGGCAATTTTTAAAATTTGATAAATAAAATAGCACTTTTTTTTCATAAAAAGCATCCTTTTCCTTTACAAATTGTTTAACTTTGGCCAATGTTTCAGGGTATTTATTACTATTGTACAAAACTGTTGTATGCATGCAATCTAGAGACATTTTAAATGAAAGGTTTGGCAGTAAGATCTATAATTCGGTTTTTTCTTTTTATTTTCTGGATTATGAGACGGCTTTTCTTACATTAGCATTATGGAAATCAATAGGCTTGCTGTGTTAAATGTCACAAATGGGCACTTGTGCACTGAGAACATTCTCAATATTTTTTCATACACAGTTATGAATACAAATGTCCCAACTGCAGAAATTCCTGTTATGATTGGTACTAAACAATGACTTACCAGTTCCAATTTAAGATGAGTAAATTTCTTTAACTGCAGTCTTAACTGCTTTGAGATTGATAAATAACACAGATAAATTTGACATCTAAAATTCTTTCCAAAACATGTAAAATCTCTTTAACCCTGATTCCTAATATTTCTGGTATTTTAGATCTGTATTATTGACAAACCCTTAACATTGGAATTAATTTGATCATTCATTTAACAATTTAATTGATTTGTTTCTTAAACCAAAATTGGCAGAATTCATACAATGCGAAGCCAAAACCACACTGTGACTTATATGTGTGATTCTAATTGTAAACAAGCAATGATTCATGCTATGTTGCCTTTAACTGCAGATTGTTGTGAATATAATATATATGAACATACTTACTTACCAGCTTTTTTTTAACTGATTTTTAGACAGCCCTATAGACCGTTATACGTATTTTGAGTTGTGACAGAGTGAAGCTGTCAGAGAAAGAACTAGAATCATTAGATACAGGAATACAAAAAAGGATGAAGATATACGTATATAGAAATCTAAATGGAAGCATTTGAAAAAACAAAGGAAATCGGAATGTATGCCTGTTTTCACTTGGATTTATAAAGCACTATTCAAAAATATTTATCATTCCTAGTTTAGTCATAGTCATAGAGGGCCTTGCATTATTGAAACCCGAGTGGATAAACTCAACTGATAACAGCTGGCCAGTTCCTTCAGGTTTATCAGGAAAATGATAAATGCCTCCTAAGAGAAGAGTATTGTAACTGTAAGGAGGAATTATAACAGGTCTTTAAAAGTTAACCTTGCCTTAGGAAAGAAAGCTAGAATTAAATTGAAAATGTTACAAGAAGCTAAGGGAAACGGAGGTTTTGGTTTGCCAGAGTGGTTTTTATATTATCCAACATCAGTGCTAACATGGATAAAAGAATGGATAACCCTCAGAAATGAAAGATTGTTGTATTTGGAGGGACATGACTTACAACTCGGTTGGCATGCTTTCTTATGGTATATTAGAAATGCATTGTTATTAACATGGGAAAAATAAAATGTAAAATATATTTGAAAATTCCAGGATGGCTTTCAACAACGGAAGCATTTGTACATCCAAATCTAATCAGTCTTGAGAAAATATGGACATGCAAAGATATTCTGAATTCTGATGGGAACTTCAGATCTAGACAAGAGATGGAAAATCAGGGTATTGATCTATCATGGTGGTCACATTTACAAATGCAAGAGAGATATGATAAAGATGTTAAAGTGTATGGATTTTATAAAGAGCAGATTTTGTTTCATCAGCTATTACTAACCTCTGATGAAAAACTAAGAAAA